AGCTTTTGGTAGAAGTTACCAGTGCTTCATCTAGTCATGAGGTTTTTTTTTTCTTTAAAGATTTGTTTATTTAATTTTATTTATTTGTTATTATTATTTATCTTTTTATTTGGCTAGAGGGAGCCAGAGAGAGAGAGTGAGAAAGAAAGCCACCAGGTCTGAGACTTGAACCATGGTTGGCCATGGGGGAGTAAAACACCTTAACCACCATGCCACCTGCTGGTAACCACAGCAGTATGGGTATGTAAGGATGAGCCTCCCTTGGAATTCTATACCACTTGTCTATTGCAGATACAAATCCTGAAGACATATCCCTAAAGACAACAGCCTGCCCAGATGTGAACATGGGGAGCATTGAAACTCCAAACAAGTCTTAGCATCATAGTGGGCTACATGCAGTAGCCAAAAATAAAGTGAAAATTCAAAGAAAATCTTGTCTTATTTTTATGATATGTTTTTATGACCATTTTTATGAGACTTTTTGACTACTTCAGTGTCTCCAGAACTGCCCTATTGAGTCAAATATTACCTAGAATTATTAATGATGAAAATTATGATGTCTGTTGCTTACTTAACAAGAATTTTTAAAAAATAATTAGTTAATTTATTACTATTATTGCTTTAAATTGACCAGAGAGAGACAGAGGAAAAGTGAGAAACTAAGTCACCAGGTCCAGGACTCAAACTGTGGTTTGCTATGTGGGAGTCTAGCACCTTAGCCACTATGCCACCTTCTGGCCCCACCTACAAGAATTTTAATTCCTAGAGCACATGAATTTTTAAGTAATTATATGCTTTATGGCAGAAAATATTTTTAAATTAAAATGTGCAATTATGCATTGAGTCCTTCCATGTGCAAAACACTATGATGGGCATTTTGGGGTAAAGAGTTTATTCACTCTACCAGTAAGTCATGTATTCCCCCGCCCCCCAGGCTAGGTCCTTGCAATGAGAAATGACAAACACAGATTTTCATGAATGAAGTTTGCTGGCTTCGTCAGAGAGATAGGTCCATGCTGGTGTGTAAGAGCTGACACAGTCGGAACATGTGCATGCCAGGCATCTTGAAGACAGGATGTTTTTAACCATAGAAACTAGTAAATGCTACAGTGTGTGTGTGTAATAATATATATACATATTGTACATGTATGTACTCACACGTATGTTACAAAATAACAGTCCATAAAAGGTGCATATTACAAAGCCTTAGGCAACCAAGGGAGGCTTTCTGAAGGAAGTGCCATTGAAATTAGGTCCAAAGGTAAATAGGAGTTTGCCAAAGAAAGCATGTTGATGAGTGCAAGGTTGAAGTGTGTTCCAGGTTAGGGTACGACATGTATAACTAAGAAAAAATGAGTTTTGTTGTATTTGGCTAGATCATAGAATGTCCTGTTCCTTAGGGCACACATTCTGTTCAGGAAGGCAGGGATAAACTGGCATTTTATCTCTCTCTCTCTCTGTATATATATATACACACACACACACACACACACACACATATATGCACGTACACACACACACACATTTTTTTCTTTTCTTTTTTTTTTTTTTTGAGAGGTTTTTGCTATAGGGCACACACGCTCTCCAGAAAGGCAGAGAGAGATAGAGAGACAGAAAGTGAGAAATCACCCCCCAGGGGGAATGGCCATGCTGCAGTTGCTTTTCCTTCGTTCTCCTATTAGGATCTTGGGCACACATGCACAAACATCTGGCATGAGTTTAAGCTGCCGGGTCCAGGACTCGAACCATGGTCAACTACATGGGAGTCCAGCAACATACCCATTACATCAACTGCTGGTCCCATACATATAATTTTTAAAAGTCTTTATTTGTAGCATTTACTAGTTTCTGTGGTTAAAAACATCATGTCTTCAAGATGCCGGATTGCACACTTTCTGAATATGTCAGGTCTTACAAGTCAGTTCTGGTATTTCCAGCACACCATTATTGAAGGTGGAGTTGCCAGAGTCAAGAAGATTGCTGGTGAGGGATTATCCTCTAAAAGGAAATCAGAATGTTGTTAGAAGAGGGGGAGACACCTAGTAGCAAAAGCCAAGGAAATTTGCACTTTATCATTAAAACATTTTTGTAATTTTTTGTTTGTTTTGTTTTTGCACTTGCCAGAGAGCGACAAAGACAGTTAAAGGAAAAGTGAGAAGTCACCCCTTCCCCCAAGGGAGATGGCCATGCTGCAATCCCTGCTCCTTTCTTCTCTCAGGATTTTAGGCACACACGCACACGTGCCTGGAGTGTTTTTCAAGCCACCTGATTCAGGACTCAAATGCAGTCAGCCAAATGGGAGTCTAGCGCCTCCACACTGCCTGCTGGTCCAATTTTTTCTTTTCTTTTCTTTTTTTTTCTTTAAATTTATTTACTTACATTCATTCACTGTACATCATGAAAACATACAAAATGAGATTTTCCATCCAGAGTACACTGTATCAATCAAGCACATCAGCATACATGTTATTTATTGTCAACAAATAATTTTCCATTTCTTGTTTTCTATATGTTTTTCTTTTTTTTCCTCGTCCTTGATTCCCTATCTCTTACCCTCTGCCATCTCCCATTCTCCTACCACACTGTTTCTGGTATCTATGTTTGCTTTCTATACTGTTTTTCCCCACATTTTATTGAGTCACTAAAGATCTTAATTAATCTAAATGTTTTCATAGCAAGCACAGTTCATATATACATTTCTATGAACACAAGTCCAACTTTAGGCATAAGCCTCACTGAGTAGAATGAACATCCTATAGAGTAGCACCTAGCTGGGGCTATATATCATACTGCAGTCATCGAATAGGTATTTTTTTTTCTGAAACTTTTTTTTCAACTTAATTTACATTCTTTTCCTAAGCATCGTCACAGCATACAAAATGTGATTTCCCATCCAAAATATACTGCATAGTGGCTTAATCGTGCATATTATTATCACAAATTTTCCATTTCTAGTTTCTAGAAATTTTTTTTACCCCTATTTCTGACCCTCTGTCCTTTCCCACCCTCTTCTCACACTATCTCTGGAGTCTACAATTGTCTTCCTTTCCACCCACATTGCATTGATAACACAATTTCTTAAATAAACTAACTACTTTCAATAGTAAGTTCACTTGATACTATTAAGAAAACCAGATTTAACTTAAATCAAAGAAATGCTAAGGAACTTTGCTTAAAGCCAGGAAACAGGTTAGGATTCTGATTTTTAAGCATTCTTGTATCATTTCCTTGAATAGCATTTTTAAGAACTCTATGATACTCCGTTTTGTAAAAGTACTGTAGCTTTTCATTCTTTTATTGTTGCATATTTAGGTTGGTAAAATTATAAATAATGCTTTGCTTGTCCATGTTGATGCTGAAAGTCATTTTACACATTTAGGACAAATTTATTGAGACAGTTTGCTTAAGTAAAATGGATGGGTCAAAAGGAAGGTCGTTTTAATGCTTTTGATATGTATTCTCCAGTAGTGTACAAAATAGTTTTACCACTCGCATCTCCCTGATAACTGTAAGAGAGATCTATATTATTGTATTCAATGTAACTAAAAATAAATGATAAGACTGAATTGATACATCATTTTCATTTTGATTTGTTTTAATTACTAAGAGTGTGGAGCTATCTGGGTCTTATAATAGGTATATTTCTCATATTGAAATTCCATACCATTTCCAACTTTTGTGATCTTACTAACCTATTGTCTTAAGTATTTATCTTCTCATAAATCATTTAATGAATACATAACATAATTAATAGTGGAAATTCTTGAACAAAGTACATCTTGGTAAATCTTTTTTTTTTTTTTTTTGGAGAGGTTTTTGCTATGGGGCGCGTGCGCTCACTAGACAGAGAGAGACAGAGAGACAGAAAGCGAGAAATCACCCCCCAGGGGGGGATGACCACGCTGCAATCCCTTCTCCTCCATTCTCCTCTCAGGATCTTGGGCACGCACACACACGCGCCCGGAGTGAGTTTTAAGCCACCGGGTCCGGGACGCAAACCGCGGTCGACTACGTGGGAGTCCAGCAACATAGCCATTATGCTAACTGCTGGTCCCAATCTTGGTAAATCTTGAGGTGAATGTTTCCAAGTTTATTTACTTATGTCTTTTATGAAAGACATAGAGAGAGAAAAAGAGTGACAGAGAGACAACACCCCAAAATGGTTGTCATGCCATCAGCCACCACCCCCCCCAGAACACAAGTATGCATGTCTGGCATGTTCCGGAAGGTTCTGGGATGCAAGCTTGAGATCTTTCTCCTCATGTAGGTCCAGTTGTGTGCCACTGTCTGGCCCTAGGACAGTATTTTATATCAAATTCTTTTTCTGTATAGTGTAGGGTAACATTAGCTGTTTTACTAGATAAATTTTGATTCATAGTAAGTTAATACAATAGAATGTTTCTTGCTCATTCACTGTCCCATATGGTTGTTCCTAGTTAGGCATCTTCCATGTGGTCATTTAAGGTCAAAGGCTCATTCTCTCCCATGGTTTTCTTTTCCCCTAGGTCTTTGTAGTCAATATTCAGTAGGATAGTAGTGATAGAGAATGAGGGGCAATTTTCTAGGTTGTCAGAAAAGTCATGACGTATTTTTTTTTTTCTATGTAAAATGCATCATGACTTTTCTGACAACCCAGTAGTCATCTCTTGGTATCCGCAGGAGATTGGTTCCAGGACCCTATGCATACAAAACCTGTAGATCCTCAAGTCCTTTGTTACATACCTGCACCTGCAACTTTGTAAGCGGAACAAGTCTGGGAATCTGATGTACAACATGAGACTATTGTTAATAATATTGTTTATATTAAAGATTTTTGGTAAACAACTAGATTTTAGCTGCTCTTGCCACACAAAAACTGGGTAACTGAAATGATGGATATGTTACGTTGCTTCACAGTGGTAACTATATTGTTATCTATGTAAAAACATTATGTTATATACCTTAAGTATATATAATTTACTTCAAAATGAAAACCAACATTCTTGTTTCTACCCAAACAGGTGATTAAAGTCTACAGTGAAGATGAAACCAGCAGGGCTTTAGAGGTGCCCAGTGACATTACAGCCCGAGATGTTTGCCAGCTGTTGATCCTGAAGAATCATTACATTGATGACCACAGCTGGACCCTTTTTGAGCACCTGCCTCACATAGGTCTTGGTAAGGATACAGAATCACAGTCTCTCATCATTGCTTTTCTGTCTCTGGTGGTGTAGTTGTATGGCAAAGATTTTCTTCAGGTGTATAAAAATGGGCAGGAGGGATTATGGACAATCCTTTTCTTTACTCTTTTTATTTATGGTGTTGGTTGTTGAATAAAATGGAAGTAGTACAAAATGGAAGTAAGGGTAGATATACTATAAATTCACTACCCCTCATCATTTAACTATGACCTATAGGAACTTAAAAATGAAAAACAAGGTTCAAATCAATAGAATGATAGATTTCACAGTGATCTTAAAGAGTATAATACAAACTTTTTGAGAAGATATGAACTACTTTTTAGTTGTTTGTGGTGCAGATAAGAATAAGTATTTAGAGTGATGGTTTTCTTTGTGAGGAATAACATCTCAAATTTTCTTAAGGAAATAAGTAATTCTTTCACATTTTTAAGACACAAATATCAAGAGTGATTTTAAAAATTTTCTAGTTGAAATGCATCTCTATATCGTGAGCTGTGGCAGATTTTAAAAAGTATCTTTTAAAAAGTTAGAAAGAATTCATTCTTCTAGAATGAGACAACATTTAACAATGATTTTACTCCCTAATTTCTTATTTTTATAGATATTAGTGTCAAAAACATGTTTACATATAAATGTGTGAAGAAGGAAGGAGTTAGTTATGCCAATGTGATTTGATTCTTTGAACTCTCTATTCATTACTTTAATAAATTATCACAAACTTGGTGGTTTAAAACAATGGGAATGTATTTCCTCATATCTCTAGAGGCCAGAATTCTGAAATTGGATCAGTGGGTTGAAGTTATGGTGCTGGCAGTGGTCATAGTTCACTGGAGGCTGTAGGGACAATACATTCCTGATGCCCTCCAGGTTCGGTGACTGTCAGCATTCCTTGCTGTGTGATCACATCACTCTAATCTCCACCTCCGTGGACACATGCCTTCTCTTCTGTCTGCTTCATGCTACCCTCTCTGTAACAAGGGTATCATTTAAGATTCACCTAGATAATTTTGGATAATCTCCCCATTGCCAGGTCCTAGATTTGATCATGTACAGTACTTTTTTTTCCATATAAAGTGACTTTCATAAATTCCAGTAATTAAGATAAGGTGTGGTTATCTTTTGGGGGTTATTATCCAGCCTGTTACAAACTGCTTTGCATTTGATTTTTAAAAAACTTTAGTAGTAAATCATCAAAATCACTTTAAGGCTCAATTACTTTGACAGATGTTGCTAAAAATGCTGTGCTCTACAAGCTGGTACCCACCCAACCTACAGAATGGGTGGCATGGCATGTTCCTGTTACCCCAGTGACTTGGGACTTGGGAGGCTGCCATAGGATGAGCTCACCACAGGGATGCTCTGTTCTTGTTGTTGTTGTTGTTGTTGTTTTAATCATTTAAATAATTTGTCAAGGACAGCTCGCTTAGTTCTATGAGTTGATTTAAAGAATTTTATACCTAGTCATTAAAGTCATTCACTTTCTCTCATAGTGGCTGATAGAGAGTTGTTTTTTTTTTTGATACATTTGAGGGTTTAATCCCCAGAGCAATGTGCCGAAGTAAGTTTTGATTCTGATGAGAGGTTTGTCTTCATCTCAACAAATGGAATTTAAATAAAAGATGGTGACAGAAAAGGCATGTCATTAGAAGGTTTCATTTTTAAAACATTCAGGAACAGTGGTTGTGCTCAATACTACGTGTATTCCCTGAACTCTTTAGAAATGTTTGAGTACTTTAAATTTGACGACCACTGTCGTAGGATGTGTCAGAACCTTAGGAAGAGGAAAGGTACAGATTCTGGAAAAGGAGCGAGAGTGGTTTCATGATCCCTATGGGGAGTCTCAAGGTAAGCATCTCCCCAGTTGCAAGCTGATGAGCTACGATATGCCAGCTGATCTTGACAGCTGAGCACAGACAGTAATATAACTGCCGAGAAAGCCTGAGTTGTGAAGGTACACGCTCCTGGCCAGTGTACCTTGCTGTTTCATCTTCCTAGGACAGAAAAAGCTCAACATGTGTTTTCTACATTGCTTTTGTGCCTAATTTAACTTCATTCATAATAATTAACCTCCTAGAAGTATGGTGTTAATTCCTGATCGATATTTGCCATATCTCAAACTATTTTATTTACTTATGCTAGGAGAAATATAGTTCTTAATTAACATGTTATAATTACAGTACTTTATACTTTAAAGTTTTTTCTTTGGTGGAAGGAGTTTTAAAAATGCATTGTTATTATTTTGGTTATAGTCAGAGCAATTTATTCCTAACAAATAACTTTGAAGTTCAGTAATAAAAATCTGCTCTATAAATCAAGTAGCGGTTTTTACTGAGGACACTGCAAATTATTTATATTACGGAATAAAATGCACAAATCTTTTAATGCGGAAGCTTACAATGGAACATTGAGAATTAATTTGAGCCACATACTATTATAAATTTAAACTTTTACACATCAAATAGTAATATAAGTGTATTTCTCCATTACTGTATTTTCTAGAAGCTGCTGAAATAAAATCAAAGATGTGAGAATATTGTCTCATGACTTCATCAACCATGCATTAGATCAAGCTTCTGAGAAAAAAGAAATAACTGCAAAACTTTCTTATGTTCTTTTTCTTTTAGTTTTTTTCTTTCATTGCCATAGAGTATGTGTGCTTGCCAAAGAGTAAGAAAGAGAGAGATAGAACCCACCAATAGACATAGACATGCCACAGTACCTTTTCTTCCGTTTCTCTTTCTCATTGGGATTTTGGACACTTGTTTTGCAGGCCACTTGAGCCAGTTATCAGACTACCATCACCCATATGCCATCTGGATCCCTTGACTGCTGCACTATTTTAAAATAGAACAGTTACAAATCTTAATTCTATTTAAATATATTTATTGGATTTAACAACTTTCAATTTATGATCTAACAATGTAAGGGGAAAATAACCACTACTAAGTGTTGTGGTCTTCCTCAGCATCAAATATAAGCAGATATGTCTTCAAAAATTTCTGTGTATGTGTGTGCGTGTGTGTGTGTGTGTGTGTGTTGTAGGTTGTAAATATTCTTGCAGTATCTATTCAGTCTAAGAGTGGTATTAAATTACATTTTCCATTTGCATATAGAAATGAATGAAAAGAACTAGAGTGTTTTTTTTACTTCAATATTTTATGAAGCTACAGATTTCCTTTGTGAATAGAATGAACCATTGACAACTTCCTCTGTAAGTCTTCATGAATGCTATTGATACTAAAAACCAAAAGACCAGCTATTTGACAAAACTTTGGCGACCAGCTATCCAGCTCTGCATATTGTTCAGGAGATATTCTTGACCTCTTTTTAGCTAGGACAATGAGTTTTTGGTGACTAGAATTTTAAAAGGAACGGGCATGGTATCTATTAGGTCGTCAGGAAAGTCATGACATATTTTCTAGGTATTTCTATACAAAAATGCATCATGACTTTCCTGATGACCCAATATTACCCTAAATTTTTTTTATATGAAAATAATCCAGCTCATTGTAAATAATTGAGAAATAAAAATGTCAAAAGTGACCAAAATTATTCATAGTTTCTAAACACTGGTAATTTTTGTCAGCATTTAAAAAAATCCCTTTAATCATTTTCTTTACTTTAGCATAATCTTTATACCTTTACTTTGGGGATTACTCTCTTGTTTTTATCCTTCTGTGCACTTAAAAACACATCTTAAGTGTTTTTTAGCATTTTACTTTTCACTTTACAGATTCAACATGAAGTTGGAACTCCCCCACCTTCCCTGGCTGCCTTTCCCAGTTTAGCAAATATTGATTTGTGATTTTGTACTGAGGAACCTATTATCCGTTGTAGATCCTGGGGATACAATATGAACAAAATAAACAAAACATATTGCCTTTGTGAGTTTGCATTCTAGTGGGGAGGAAAAAAACAAGGAACAAAGGACTACTGTTTGTTTTCCCTTAGACAATGACAGCCTCTGGGGACGAAATGGAAGCGGGAAGAGGGACAGCATTACTGTGGTGGGTAGGAGTTGCACTTTAGCTAGAGGAGTAAGGGATGGCCTCTCTCCTAGGATGACTTTTGAGTAGAAGATTGTTCTGGACTGAGGGAACAGCCAACGGAAAGGCCTGGATGTGCGATGTGCCATTGTGCTTGCTTTCAGGAAGCAGTCCAGAGGCAAATATGTCTGGACTGGGGTGAGTAAGGGTAGATAGTAATATGAGAGAATTTTAGAGAGCTACTGCAGGGCCACATCACAGAGGGTCCCACAGGCCTTGTAACAGTGCGCCTGGCTTTTACACTAGTGAAAGAAAAAACAACGGGAAGTCATTGAGTCAGAGAGCAATATCATCTGATTTAGTTTTAAAAATACACTGCTAAGGAGAGCAGAATTAAACTTTTGACCTTTTGAAGACTGGTTAACTTCTGTTTTTCCGTGAAAATACTCATGACTCCTGGAATGATCTTCTCCCACCTCTCGTTTCTACTAGCTATACTTGCCTCATTGTTCCATTTTCACATATGATCTGTGCATTTATGAAATTTGTGTTTGTGAGATCTTGAGGCCTTATAGGCATGAACATTTTGGGGTATGGGATAGATAAGAATTGAAAGTTTTATGCACTCCATTTCACTTTAATGACCCATATAAGCTTAGGACAGTTTCAGAGACATTCTTTGTGGTTAATAGGTATGCTGTTGTTGTCGCTTCTGATCCATTAAGCCACACCACAAATTACTGAAGTTAGAGGGGAAATACTTGACATTCAAAATGTGGTGGATTCATGGAAACTGAAGTCCATGTTTAGAGTGACATTTTCTGTAGCAAAGGAAACTTTCATCCTGTATACCTTTAATATGAATGCATTTGCATGATAGCTACTATTAAAGTGGTTAATACACACACACACACACACACACACATATATATATATATTAGAATTATTTATTAAATTGTATTCATTATTGTTTCAAAATCTGATCAGAAAG